AGTATAATGTATCAAAATTATAACTCATAATACAGTATGCACGATACATATAGTACACACTTCAAAAAGTCAAGTTTGGGACACTTAAATTTACTTAAATCGTCATTATGGTATTGAATCAATGTTTTATTCATTTATACAATAATTATTTTCACAGTATATACACTCATATTTATTTATTAAATTAGGAGTTTAAGTTTGACACAAAATTTTCAGCAAATGCATATATTTGAACATCAAAATAAGTTGTGTAACCAATACACTTTATTTAGTCCAAATACTAAAAAAAATACTTATAAGTACCATGAACACGAATGTCCTACTTTAAAACATTATTTCAATTCTCTTTTGGAAGAAAATACAAGTTCTCCTGTTGTGTCCTTCTTGTCCACATTGCCCACAATAATTATTGTTCACTGCTATTTTCTCATTCGCGTTTTTATTTCTTCGCTTTCTTGGTTGTCCAGCCAACCTTCTATACCTAGTTGGCCAGACAATTTCATCCAAAACATAGTCTGGAACGATTCAAATCCTCCTTATCTGGCATTGGAACCATTGGAACCTCGTATGTTTTTTTATAATGCATCAGGCTTGTAGTAATCAGAGCAATATGGGTGCAAATTTGTAACATTCTTGTGCTTCAAAACTGTAATTGCGTGTGCCAAACGTATCACATCATGTTGAAACCTTCCACATGTGCAAGTTTTCCTCTCAAGGCATACAGTGTATCTTCTTCCGGCTTCATGAACTGAGAAAATATATTAACATGATGGAACAACCTAAAAATATAATAAGTTAGTGATACATTATGTAATATGCAATTTATATATCATTTCCCAAACAATGTTTATCATTGAAAATCAGTTTGTTTCTATTACATAAAACAGAAATTTAGGGGAATTGATAAATATCTTCATCTTTGAACTTTTAAATGCTTTTACAATCAATATCTTCTCAAATCTTCGGCCCAATGTGTCCTTTGTATATGATGCTATTGTCTATTTTTATAGTTCCAACTACCAAATATAAGTCTAGCTTCCTCCAAGAAGTCTATTATAGTTGACCTACCTGCATCAACAAGGCATCTATTAATACACTCAGCGAGTCGAAGTAATCATTCTACCTCTGTTTACGATTGAATGAACTCTTGACCACTTCTCATAACCAGCATCTTCAAGGTAATCCTTCACCCTATGATCAACTTTCACCACCTTAGCCATTTATCAAAATCTTCCTTCTGTATGCTTTTGCCATTGAGTAAAATATATTACTTAGTGTGTTTTTAATCCTTTTGAAGCTTGAACATACATTCTTCCAAAAATGCCATATCCATGCACAATGAGATACATTTGGGTACACAATGCTTACACTCTTCATGATACTTTCATTTCTATCTGATACAATACACATGTTTTCACGCTCGCCAAATGCATTTTTGAATTGTTCGAAGAACCATGTCCACGAACAGTCATTTTCAGTGTCTACAATATCATATGCCAATGGCAAAATGCAACCTAATTACAAAGAATCACACATTTAACTTCATGATACACAATGTTTACACTAAGATACATTAACTATAAATATAAAACAAATTTTACATTACATCAGTATTACAACAGTCATACCTGCACCATCGAGTGTGCTCGCTGATACAAAAGTAACCTTGTAAGCCCCTCCAAGTTGTGCAGCGTCCACTACAACTACAGGTCTGTAGTAGTCGAACCCTCTTAACAACGATCTTAGGGATATGAAAAGATACATGAATTTATTATCTTCCGTCTTTTGCATCCTTATATGAATTTGAATACACTTTATTTAGCAACCGTATGTATCTCGACATCTGCTTATATCCTTATGATGGCTTACCCTTGAGCATTTCTAGTGCATGTCCCCTAGCACACCATGTCTGCTGGTATGATATCTCAACCCCATATAATTCTCGAATATCTTCAATTACATCTTGAGGGGTATGAATTCGTTTATGATTTACCAATTTAGGGGCAGTCACACTACTAATAAATTCAATTGTTGCTTGTACTTTTGTTAGTATCATATCGCACATGTATGTTCACTATTGAAATATCTCACTTTGAATACATCAAAATTTTTTTAGCAAGAAGACTTTAAAGTCTATCCACATTAATCACTGAAGCAAACCAACACATAGTTGTCTAAATTTTTTAATTGGATTGATTCATATAACAAAAGCAATGTTAAAGTTGTTAATAACTAACGTATCTGACATAATAAAGAACACAATCATTTTTGTCCAAATTTTTGTGTATCACATAATGACATTTATCAATAGACATGTAAATCAAATTTCAATACTCATCAAACACTGACAATCCTATTACAACGAAATATATACTAATTATAATTATGTATCACACACAATATAAATAGAACTGTACTAGAGAAAAACAATCAAATTAGAGAGAAAACATTCCAATACCTTTTTTTATCCGATCTTTTCACTCAAAAATTGAAGTTGTTCTTTATTTTATATTTAGCCATTACAACAATGAGTGTTCCATTATCCTTATACAATTGCTCCATCTTCACATCGGTATTATTGGAATCAGTTATGTAATTCTTAGCATTTAATTCTGAAATATAATCAATGTCACAAATTCTCGACTCGACCAGGCCAAGAGCTTTAGTATATCTTTCGGTACCTTCCACGCATACGACTTCCCCGAATGAACAATCAAAATTATGTATCTTCCCAACAATTTTATCAGTTGCATCAATACAAAGCGGATACATGCTAATTTCAGGCGCATTCTTTTCTACTTCCAAATAAAGTTTCACACCCATATTGTTCTTGATTTTCAATGGACATGAGTTCCCCTCAACAACTTATCGATTTCAATATCTTTTGTAACAGTGTCGATCTCAAGCTTTGATAAAATCAACGCTTTTAGATTCACAAATGAAATGGAATGTCCAACAACAATTCCATCAACTTTTTAACCTTCATAATTCTCATCGCTTACCCAAATTCCAGAATGTCGTAGTAAAATTGAGATATTCATCTTCTAACCTATTTTTTTCGACTTCTTAGAATGCTGATTAACTTTATCAGGACTAATTTTGTTTTATGAAGCTATTCTAATTTGAAATTTGAATTTATCAATCAGTTTTGCAAGCTGTCGAGCGTAAATTACGTGATTATAGCTATTATAACAAATTTACGTTATTTGTTCCTAATTAACCGCAATAGCTGCCAATTCAGATATATCAAAACTAATGTATCCCGTACTTCTCAAGATGTATCCCGCAAACTACATTTTAAGGGATTTTTGGTAAATATAAAACTAAAAGGGATAAATGTTATTTTGTATTTATAATATGTGGTTCCTATAATTTATACTTTTTTTAATTAAAAAAAACACAGGAGAATATAACTTTATTCTTGTTGGGCCCGGGCTGCGCCAGGCTTCGTTTAGTACTATCAAAAGGAAAAAGGGTTAGGGTTCAGGGTGAGATATTCACTATTGAGAAACATGGCAGAGATGGACCTTTCGAAGGATCTTATGTATCATCTTGTTACAATAGAACCCTGGAATTAAAGACCTTTCTAAGGATTATCCTATTACAATAGAATCTAATTTGATGTTGTCTGAAGTGTTTCTAAAACATCTAGAACTAGAAAAAAACTGAAAAACCTAGTGTGGAATGGATTGCCTTACAATTCGACAAGGCTAAGCAAGAAAGAAGTTAATAAGGATGTGAGAATGTGCAACAAGACAAGTAGGAAGCATTCATTCTTAGACCAAACGAGCTCAAGAAGAATTAGCACAAGTAGAAGGAGAAGAACATGTGATTGTGCCACCGGAAAAGAGGGGCAATTTGAACAAGGAAAGGGGCATCAAAGGGATACCTTTAGACCCCTATTGAAATTGTTCTTCACTCTCATGCTTTGGATTCATAAACTCACTCTTGCTACTCCCATGGATGTTGTGGAAGAGTATAACGATCATTATGGCTCCATTACATCAATCAATTTCGTCAAACTCATTGTTTTGACATTGATATCCATCCGGGTTCGTCTTTGGCTGCTGGAATATTATTAGTATATGACTCCAATGAAGATGCGTGAGTTAATGATGGAACCATTCAGGAATATAACGAGAGAGTGCACAATGTTTTCAAGTACAAGGTTTTGAAGATTGAGAAAGTCAATTTTATGGTGACATATTACTTAGAATATTGGATGACTGCGAAAGTCAGAAATGTTACTCCTATCGAGATTTTCCAAATGCATGCTGCAGTTGGTGATTTGGCAAATTGCAATCTGTCTTCGTAAGCTGCCAGGGAGAAAAGAAAAGGCTTCAAGAAGTATAGTTGCATAATTTGGGCCAGTTGAGATTTCATCATCTTGGTTGAGATTTTATCATTTGTACTTTACCCCGTATCTGAATAATTTTTTTTAAAAAAAAACTGAGGAGAAAAAATGGAGAACAAAAGTAATATAGAAGGCTAATATAATGTTTTTAGCGGATTAGGTCAGGTAGGACGGGTTATCAACATGGTTTAAACCTTAAAATTTTAGTTGCAAATATTAATGAAAAACAATTAAATAGGCTGAACAACTTTGTGAGTTTGGGTAAAAAGAGTTAAATAGTTGCTTTAGCGGTGGAGCACTTTGGATTTAGGAAGTTGGTAGAGCTGTTTCATCACCAATAGGTAAATTAAAAGTTGGACGTACATCCCTCAGTACGACATAGCAAAACCAAGCCTAGTTGGAAATTCTCAGGAGATTGAATAGGGAAGGTCATGGCTTCGACATAACGAATTGCATTGCATATTTCTTTGTGATAGAGTTGTCTTGACAGCTGAAAAGGCCTAGCGTAAACATCTTCATTACCAATGTGTTTCCTTAAAAGAAATATGAACAATTGCCTACAAAATAACAACTTATATGCCAACCATTTAAAGATGATAAAGTGGTGCTTGGTTGATCCATTAAATAACCATAGAGACACAATGAGTTGTGACTTGTGAATACCTAAAAAGAACCTGTCTTATCTTCACTAATTCATATACATAAGAGCACCACAAGAAGATGAAACAGGAATCATCACCTAATGTATGACAGCACAGTCACGCAAAGATAAGAACATTCTAATAAGCAAAAGCCAATGATGCTACAACCATGCTTACCAAAGGAACAGAAATGTTATCGTCTACCATTCCAGTAATAGGGAGAGACTCCACCATAGTTGCTACAAATGACACCAAAGCTACTCTTTCTACAGTTGAAACCCAATCCAACTGAAAATATCCCAACGCTGAGAAGTAATACAGCATCCTTTAACCATATGAAAGAAGTCTAGCATCAGCATAAATATTACAACAAATTAAATATCTAAACACAAACAAACAGCACAAGGACCAAACCTACCCAATGGATACCAGGAAACCGACAACAAACATGGAGAGGCTACCAACCAAGCTTTTCTGTTTATTATAAGGTAATTTTGTGGACCCAAACCTTCTTCCAACAATATCAGCGATTCCTACATAGAACAAACTTTAAAAACAAAAAGTGTAAGAAGTTCTCACAATAAACTACGTGATATGAGCTTCAGCTCTTACCATCACCACCACACATCATTGCTAATGAAATTACTCCAACTGGTGACTCACGCCAAAAGAGAACCGCACTCAAAATTAACACTAAAACATAATATAGAGGCCCTCTGAGCAATTCTCTGCAAGGAAATGGCTGAAACGTAAGAGAGGAATCAATGCCATGAATCTGTTGAACGAGGCGGGGAAGGGAACTTACTCTGGCTTTCCTTCCCTAGTAACAGATTTAACAAGCCCCTCATCAGTAGCCAAAGATAGGCCATGAATCACAAGTCTCAAGCAGTTTGTAAGTGGAACTACAGCAGCAAAGTAGCGAGCCCGTCCTGATACGCTAATCTAAGACCTAAATCATCAGTAAGAACATTCAAAGATGGATCTGCATTCATCATAATGACATAACAATACCTGAAAATCGGCCAGGAAGCCATAAAAAGCAGACCAGACAATATGTGGACCAGCTTTCTGCTTAAGTTCTGTTTCAACAAATGAAGGGGGAAATAAATATCACGAGAAACAATGAAAATCAAGTGATCATTATAATGTCTTATAAATACCTTTAGTGCAGACATCACACAAGACCTAATCCCTTTATCTTTTTCCTTTCTCCCTCTTCTCTCCCAAAAGAAAGTATCTTAAGTATTCATAGAATGTTCAAATTTCTGTGAGCTTTTGCTTCATGCCTAAAATGTCTCGCCCGTTTCTCTATTTTATTTTTGATAGGTCGCTTTCTCTATTATTATTTTTTGATAATGTGGTGACCATACCAGCATTCCACGGGATACCTGCCTTCCTCCAATAACAGGTACAAAGGTAACTCTATCTACCTAGAGATTTGAACCTAAACCCTCATGGTTCTCAACCGTCAACCCACAAGTTGTTGAAAGTTTCCTAGTCAAATCATTATATAAGCAAATAATAATGGAATGGAAGGATCAAACGGAGTTGAACGGATAGAGGATTCTATATTAACTAATGTAGGACTGAGGCAAAGTTGTATCAAATAAAATAAAAAGGAATATGAATTGCTAAAAATAAGAAAGTGAAGCTTAAGACCAGAATAATTTTTTTTAGTGTACGATTGGTAGGGTGTATAAGAAATAAAGTGTATTTGTTATGCTTGCATAAATTATTAATTTTTATGCATTTTTTTGGTTTGGTGTATTAAATATAATATACATTGCATAATTTTTTGAAAAATATTTATTTACAAAGATACCCTCTACAAATATAGCATAAAAGATTTTTTAAAAAAAGAAAAAAAGATTTTGACGAGGGGTAGCTAATGCATGCATCAAAGCTCTTGCATTATAATACAATCGATTTCATGTATTAATAGTCCGTCTGTCTCTAATTATTTGTCGACTTTTGAATTGACACACCTATTAAGATAACAATGATTGACATAATGAGTTTACTATTTCACCCTTATTCATTATGAAGTGCATGAATTAAAAACTTCGGATTTTCAAGAAGTTATACATTTTTTAAAGTAATTAATTGAGGATATAATAAGTAAAAAAAATTGTCCTTCTTTTATTTGTCAAAATGGACATGTAATTAAGAACAACTAAGAAATAAAAAGTGGACAAGTAATTAAGGACGTGATAAGTAATATACACATTTCAATGCACAATAAGGTTCAAATAGTGTACATTTCTTGATAGATCAAGTCAAATATCAATACAATTAAAATGAGCCCAATTTTGAAGAATTAGGCAGTAGAAAACTCAGCACTAACTTTTTGTTGCTAAATTCTAATTTCCTCTCCAAAAATACGTATCTTAATCATAAAGTCACAACTTATCAGAAAAGTCATCAATTATTGTAAAAGTCACAATCCATTCAATGTGAAAAAAGGTTATTCAAATTGCAGTTTTTCTCTTGACATCTTCTAGAGAAAAAAAGACTTTAATTTACGATTCACACTTTTCCAAACCCAACAACACTAACTTTTTCCTACATAATTTATGTGGGACAAGTCCTCTAAACTTATATCTTTGCCAAATAGGGTCATACATAATGAGTTTTGGGTCACAGATTTTCACTAAATGAGCAAAACGAACAAAAATCAAAGACCAAACCCAATTAAGGGAAATCCATGGAAATACTTGGTAATTCCAAAATTCACAAGGTTTTCATGAGCAGTAGAAACTTCTAAGCTAGTGCTGATTTTAATGGAATAAAAGATTCTTATCACGCATACTTCTGCTAAGTAAAATCAAATCAGATTCCGATACAGTATAATACTAACTGTGTTTTGTGAGTATGAGAGAGATAGAAGACCTGTTCAATTAGCTTCCGCTCGGATAAGAGATCAAAAGTGGAGACAAAAGCATAAGCGCCGGCGATAACCAAAGCCGTCGCACCAGCATCCTGAACCATTGAACCACCATCACCAATAACATCAAAACCACCTAAACCGGCCATCACCGGACCGGGAACAGATCGGAAATTGTACGGCGAGAAGAAACGTCGGCGAAATATATCAGTGTCGGTTGTTGCAGTGAGAGATGGAAGCGGCAGATTTGAGAGGCGGAGATGACGAGGAAGAAGAGAGTGGGCGACCGGAACCACCAAGGGAGCAGTAGCAAAAGGTCTGCTCATTTTAGCACACACCAAAGCTTGCATTCTAGAATCTACACATTGTTCAATTTCGTCTTCACATATGTATATAATAAAGTACTTAACAAAGATTTATTGAAAAACAGTGATAAAAAATAGTTTTTGTGGCTTATCATATGTTTTTCGGACAACGGCAAAATAAGTCGCAAACTAAGAAAATGATCGAAATGTAATATTAATTAAAGGTGTAAATTGATTTGGTCCTGATATATCGATTTCTCAAGGCTTATCAATTTATCATTGACCCAAAATATCTAATGAAACTACAAAATCTATCTATCTATTCTACTAAATGTAGCTATGGTATTTAATTATGTTAGATTTTAAAAGGTGTGAATGAAAAATAAAAAATTGTGAATTTTATAAAAAAAAAATTGTGACTTTCATAAAAAAATTGGGACTTTCATGAATAATTGTGACATTTATGAAAAACTGCGACTTTTATAAAAAGTTGTAATTTTCATGAAAGGTTATGACTTTCAAAAAGATTGTGACTGTTTCAAAGGGTTATAATGACTCGAAAAGATAAATAAATTAAATAATAAGTACTTAAGATGATTTAATTATTAATTAAAAATCTGAAATTTTAAGGGCATAATGGTCCTTTTACGTATTAATTAAAATAAATCAAATTTTTGTATTAATCTAATTTAAATCTTATTTGACTAAGTCTTGAATTTAGTCTCCTAATCCTAATAACACTCTATCTCTATCTCTCATGTTCTACATATCTCTCTCACGTTGATTTCTTCCAAAAATAATTTCAAGAACTGAAAATAACATCAAGAGTTAATCACACTTGAAGAAATCTCAAGAATATCTAAGTAAAAGAAAAGTAATCAAAATGTCAAGGCTAAGAGAGGTTCGTCGAGTGAGGTGTATGTTGAAGTAAATTGAGCGTGGGTTTGAGGAGTTTCCGGGCAGCAACATCAGCGTTTGAACATCGATTAAGGTATGAGTTTCTTCTCTCTTGGTCCATTTCCCAAGAGACCCCTTAAGGTTCAAGATATTCATTCCAATAACTAGGTTGTTTCCCTTTATATGTCCTTGTCACTAGCTCCCAATGAATTTTAGGTTGGCTATGATTGCTGGTAGATTTAGGTGTATATATGTTTTCGTGATGAATATGATTATGTTGGTGTACTTGGAATCATATGTAAGGCAATCATGTTTTTTTATTTAATTTATGTGCAAGTGTGTGTGTGTAAGAATGTTATGGTGAATGGGGTTCTCTATGTAATGCTCCAAAAGTTTAATGTAATATGGTTGTATATTTTTTGAGAATAAAATGGGGTAAGGCGTGAAGTTCATATGAAATGTTAGGTGGCTTGATTTAGGGAGAAATTCTTGGTTAAACGAATCTATGAAAATGTACCTAAAACATTAAATGAACCATGAAATCTCCCTAAGAACTAATGTGAAATTTGATGAAAAAGTGCAGAAAAATCGTGAAATAAATTTCCAAAACATAGAAATAGGTTTAAAAGAATCTGGAAATTTTTGGACGTCAAAGAAATAAAAAAAAGTTTTGAGGCCTCAAGGGATCGAACCCAGGACCTCCCTGCAGCATGCCTTAATTAAAAAAAATAGAAATAAAAAAAATAGGGCTGGGGGAATCGAACCCTCGCCCCTGTCTTGCGCGAGGAAAAAGGAAAAGAAAAGGGGGCAGGGGATCGAACTCGCGACCCCCAGCTACGCGCGAAGAAAAAAAAAGAACGCGAGGCGTGGGAATCGATCCCACGACCTCAAGGCGGAAGGAAAGGGGGCAAATTTATTAGTAAAGGAAGTGAGGTTGTGGGGATTCGATCCCACAACCTCACTGCCACTCGTTTTTTTTTTAAAAAAAAAGATAGAGGGTTTGTGGGGGTTAGAACCCACCACCTCACAGTCTCCTCCTCTTCAGCGAAAATCAAAAGAAAATAAGGGGGCTGTGGGGGTTCGAACTCACAACCTCGCTATTGTAGCGAATTTAATTCTAAAAATCAAAGGGGGTTGTTGGGGCTCGAACCCCCAACCCTTCGGTGAATTAATATTAAAATTAAAACAGAAAATTTATCCCTTCATGTAAATATTGAGATTTAAATTAGAATTCTAATCAAAATAGAAAATTAATTCTTTCATTTTGAGATTTAATATAGAATTCTAATTAAAATAGAAAATTAATTCTTTCATGTAAATATGGAGATTTAATTTAGAACTCTAATTAAAATAGAAAATTAATTATTTCATGAAAATGTTGAGATTTAATTTAGAGTTCTAATGTTATGAATATTAAAAATTAAAATCATTGAAAAATATAAATGATATCCAAGTAATTCAAGAATTGGGTTCCCGTGCCCAAAATTTCGTATTGACACATAAGTCATATGTGAGTAAAATATTCAAGAATAATGCCATCTACTTAGATCCAAAATCAAGATCTTGGTATATATACAAGATACGTAAGTCTTATAATATATAATCTTAGGAAAGTAAGAATCACTTAGCTAACTATGAATGAAGCCCCATGACTTGTATGCATAGACACATAAGTCTAACATACGTTCAAAAATAAGTGAACTTAAGATATACGTAAGGAAATGATGAATCTTAGGAGGTTAAGTACGAATGTAAGATACACTAAATGGCCAAGTGCATTGGCATATGATGAGATGAACTATGAATGAAGAAATGAACATTCATGTAATAAGACGTGAGTAACTATGAAAAACAAAGGTGCTAACAATGAAGAATGTGGTGGCAATCATGATGTGAGACTAATGTATAGGATGAGAGCAATCTCAAATGAGACTAAGTAAATGTTACCAATACGTACTCACCAAGGAGAGTGTAAGATAATGAAAAGACCAGTCTCTATGAACACTCTAATAAAAATATTGAGTTTAAAACACTTAATACTAATGATGAGATGAGAAATCATCTATTGAGCTATGATGTCCTCATACTAGAAGCCAGCTTCCATGATGTATGAGTTGAATGTAATGGAGCTTTATACTGAGCATCGATAGGCTAGCTCTCAGCGGTGATGCCTTCTTTCGGAAAGGGCGGAGGTTCACGTAACTCTCATAAGATGAGACTGTCTGGCTTGCCAAGTATGGGTTCCATACATCTCCTAGTTTTTGAACCTATATTGCCACTATAGGGATCTGGCGGGGTTAAATTCCCATATACGCTAGCATGTTATTGAGTCACTTTGGCCGGTGATTCCACCCATTTTCAGTGTGGGGGAGACACTAGATTTCATGATGCTCACATAATTTATGTCGATTAAAGTTAAAGTTCCTAATGAATGAATGAGGCCATCCTCAAATGAATCATATAAAGAAATGAATGATATTGAAGGTGTTAGGATAGGATAATCAAGAGGTGAGCTAGATTCAGGTAATGACATTAGGTTATTCCTGATCATTGCATAGCAAACCCGATGAAAGTCTTAAACTACATCCTAGGTATAGCTGGTGTTCACACTGGCTATGAATGAACTGAAATGAGGTACGTATGAATGAATGAAGCAGACTCTGTGTTTGCTAAAGAAGGCTCCCTAGTTGAGGTCCCATATGTTGAGCCCTCATTTTGGAAAGTCTTAAGGTCAAGTCCATGATAACAAGGTCTCATGGCATATGAATGAATAATATGAAAGAAACTATGTGTTATATGTTATGTGCTATATGAAGATGTTATGTGTTGTGTGCAATTTGATAATTATAATGATGCATGTCACTCTCATGGCATAACTTTCCCAATGTCAATATGGCAAGTCCATTGACTTGACTTCCAAAAAATCATGTTGTTAGGAAAGAGTGATTCTTTCTCATGCATGTCCCTGGTGTGTGCTTTCATATACCCATACTTAGTACAAGTGTGTACTAATTCCATACAAACATCTTTTTTTAGGTGCAGGCACAGGTGGGCGGTAGAGCTACAGGTTCGTTGTTGCAACTATCCGGACGTCAGCATTCATCCGGAGTTTGGTAGGCCCTCATTCTTTCGAGGATGCTATTATTTTACTTTATAGCGTAGTTTTAGAGTTGAGCTAGTGGATCATGTTCCACTAGAAATTCATTTTAGTTTTGGTTCAGACTTTGCATTGGTGCTACTTTGGTCGATATACAATTAATACTTAATGAATTATTTTTTTCAGTTGTTCATCTCTTAAATGTTAGATGGTTGATGATGAACGATTATGAAATATTAAGAATGTTTAGCACGTATGATTAAAGAATAAAAAATTTCAAATTTTCCTCTAAAATTAACCTGTGTAAAGTAAGAATGACGTAAGTAGGCTTATTTGCGACCTCTGAGAGGTCAACGATGCCAATCTCTTCTAGGGTTTAGATTCCGGTCGTGACAAAGTTGATATCAGAGCCTTTGGTTAAATTTTGAGAAAAATAAGTTCACATCAACCACATTGAGTAGTTTTTAAGTCATGGTGGTGAAGTGCACCACTATCCTGGATTAGAGACTGCATGATGCATAGGAAACTTTCCCTTCTTCATATCTTATCATGCTTTTCCTAATGTTTGAATTCTTGGTGTTATGAACGTGTCTAACATCAATCCTTGTTATTTTTAGAGAATGAACACTTGGAGAACTAAAGGTCTGAGAACGGGAGGAGCAGTAGCTAGGGGTAATCAAAATCCACCCGAGGCTCCAGCTGAAGGAGTGGCCATGCCAATTAACCCAGCCACGTTGACTGATGCTGAGCTGAGGTCATCTCTAGCCTAGATGGCACAGCCATCACGATGCAAGCTCAGGCTATGACTGCCCAATTCAACCAACATGATGTTTAGAGGGAGAACCCACCGGTTCGCAGCATGGCTGACAGACTGCGAGATTTCACGAGGATGAATCCTCCTATATTCACAGTGGCTAAGACTTCAGAGGATCCTCAGGAGTTTATAGACGTAGTGCATAACATCCTGGTGGCCATGGAGGCCACTGATATTGAGAAGGTTGAGCTGGCTTCCTACCAACTCAAGAATGTTGCACAAACTTGGTGCAAGATGTGGCAAGACAGTCCTTT